AATCTCTAATAAATTAAAATAAATAAATAAATTAAATAATTTCACATGAATATTGTAAACTATTTGTGACAATAAATCTTTGCACGTCCATTAGAGAGCTGCCGTAGAGCTGTGTACGAGTCACGTTAACACAGCTCGAATACGAGTATGAATCACTGTGAATATCTAGAGCTATCAGATATAAGAGCTTTGTGATAGCTGATAAGACACATGGGCTCGGCGAGGTCTATAAATACGAGACTTGAGTCGCATTTAGCATTCAGTTGGGAATCGCGAGGCACAGGTGAAATCGACTCAAGGCGCAGCATGGCTCAGGTGCAGCAGATCACAATTGTGGGCTGCGATTGCTATCAGCGACGTGGACTGCTGGGCGCCCTGTTTGGCTGGCTGTGGGGTCCGTGCGACCATTGCCGGCGTATGAGGAATGGCAATCTGATAGTCGTACCTGCGACAGGTGTCGTGGGCGTGACCACGATGCAGACGGCGCCCGTTGTGGTCTCGCGGAGTACTCAATACGCTGCGATGCCTCAGCAAGCGCAGCGCCAAGCGCCACCGGCCTACTCCCCACAACAACAACAACAGCAGCAGCAACAGCAACAACAACAGCCCAACAATTGGCCACAATCTTATCCATCGACTCTGCCGCCACAGTACAGCGAAAAGGTGGCGCTCAACTGAGCAGAGAGTCTCAGTCAATCCATCAATCAATCAAGATTCGCGCGAATAAAAACCCTCATTTCCATAAACAATTAAATTGTAATGTGACGAAATATTTGTGTAATTTCAAGAAATTAGTCTAGAATATAATATAATTAAATTTTAATTAAGTTAGAATTCATTTCTGTTTTGTGTTCGCAATTTCTGCAGAGTTTTTGTGAGCAAACAAACAAAGTTAAGTTAAGAGGAATTCACAGGAAATGCCTGACTAGTAGATACTCTATTTTGCAAGAAGTGAACAGAATGTATATTTGTATATAATCTATACATATATGTAATACATATTATACATATTATGTATATTAAATATAATAATATAATAATAAATATATATATATAATAAATATATATGTTTATTAAATATAACTCTCCGATGGCATATGTTAAGCAAATTTCAGCAGTTCTACATATTTCTACAGCAAGTCCCACTGAGGTTTATATTTGCTCACATCTCTTCTTACAGGCTCGCTCAACAACGTCGGAAGGCTTTTCTTCTCTCTGAGACTTTAATACTCTCTTCTCTCAGCTCTCACATACACACTCGGATTTATTACAGAGAAATTCTATTTCTTCACAGCTGTAGGAAGCGTAATGTCCAATTGTTAAAAGTTTTGCCACGCTTCGACCAAAAAAAAAAAATTGTATGTATCTAAAGTGCGATTTCCGAACACATACATGTATATGTATGTATATGCATAGACACACAAATTTATTCTCATTCATTTTATACGAGTAAATAAGATCGAGTCAGTTCATTGAGCGGTTGAAGTGTTTTTATAATCACGATATAAATACAAATAAATTGACATATTTTATCGACCCTGAGTCCACAAAATCAAATATAATAAAATGCAAATATACATTTAAAAATATATCAATATTTTGCAAAAAATTTGGTTTTCATGGGTTCATTAAAAAATGTAAACAAAATTAATAAAACTAAATCAGATATATTCACTGCTTAAATACATATAATGAATGGCATATGTGATATACATATATGTATGTAATTGATAATTGTTAATAAAAATGTATTTGTTAGATTAAAAAAAAAAAAAAAAAAAAAAAAAAATTACATATATCTAATTGTTAATGTAGTTGTAAAATTAAAAAAAAAAAATATTTTAATTTTTTTTGCTATATAATTCAATCAATATCATAATTATAAATATTTAAAAAAAAAAAGTTATATTATAAATAAATAGTTAAACATTTTTGTCAGTTGCCTATTATGTTACATGTCATTAATTTAATTATTAATATTTTTGTTATTTGTATGTCTATTTAATACGATTTTATAAAATTAAATAAACACAATAAAAGTCATTTTATGCATTATAAAAATAAACCTAATGTATTATTAAAAAAAAAAAAAGATAATTAAAATAAATATTAAATAAATATATTAAGAAGTCTATAAAAGGGAACAGAAGCACAAGAGAAAACTCGATAAATCCCAGTTAATTAATTTCAAAATTTCTAACTAAGACACGAAATCACGGAAGTATATCCCGTAGATCTGCCACTGGGCCAACCTTGACTTTGAATTCCTGGCAAATGAATCAACATCGTCCCTTTGCACAAATTGTATGCAAATTACTTGATGCCCTGACAGCAGCTAGCTGGCGATAAAGATCTGTTAATATCCTTTGCCACAAGGATAAAAACAAGCTGTTGCCATATTGATTCCTGCCGCCAGACCCGGCAGGGTCCAAAGGACGCGTTGTTCGCTTTTTGTGTGTCTGAGGGGCGCAACCTTGAAGGTGTTAAAATAACATATTTGGGCGATTGACGGCTGGGTGGGGTGGGGTGGGGCGGGAGGGTGTGGCAAGCGAGAGGGCGTGGCAGTTGTTAGGCACCAAATGAAATTAAAACGCGCATAAATTATATGCGCCCAAAAAGGGAAGCCAACGGAGGGGAAGCCCCCACCCCCCTCCTCCCGCTCTCCGACCGTTCTCCGCCCCCAGCAAAAAGCTGACGACGAACGCCAAATCGTTGAATATGTATATTAAGACATTTCTGGCGGCGCTGTTAATTTCTGGCATCAAGTTTTGCATACTTTTGTGAAAAGTGGGCGTGGCTGGGTGAAGGTGGGCGGTGAAAGGAAGTTAGCCTGCTTGCCTGCATAATTGCTCAATAGTGCGGAGCATTTTGCTTAAGCAATTAAGTAGATTGGCGCGGGTAACACTGATTTATGTATGTCACAGCCACGCCCACAACAACAATGTGTGCGTGGGCGTGCGTGCGTGTGTGTGTGTTGCATGTCATTTGATTAACTAAAAGTTGTTGCTGCTTGCTGCAACAATTTTAATTTTACGCCTTCATTTGGCTGCCATCAAAGTGCCACGCCTTGAGCCCACTTACGTGAGTTTAATAGCAAGCAGCTGCTGTCAGGCTGCATTGTGCGCAACGTAAATTAATTAAAAATTGTTTAAAACCACGCGCAACATTTCCCCTCGCATCCCCACCCCCGCGCCTCAGCTCGGTGCCCTCTGCCACACAAAAATCCCCAGCAAGAAAATATTGAATGTGCAACAGTAGCACATGACGAAAGGCGGCGTGTATTAATAAATACCCTGTATAAATTCATAACGGCATGGTTGGAGATTGGGGGTGGTTGAATATAGATGTGGTGTATGTGGCATGAAATGTCTTGATGATGATGATATTCAAGTTAAGTAACTTGTGTAACTCTTGGGAGCTAGCAGCCGCTTACAGGGTATCCCTGAGATGGAAACGAAATGTTTCTTCCAAGTGCAAGCAGCAGCCAACATGATATTTAACCTCATAAGAAAGGGAAAGCTTTACTCATTTATAAGTACATACACATACATATAACCGTCATGAACTGATTGATTGCTTTGCCGCACTGAGAGATGGAATGATTGACTGTAAGTCTGATTGAACATCAAGAAATGCTGTAAAGAAATATCTATGAGGCAAAACAATTAAGAAGTATAGGCTCTTAACAGAGAGAGTCCTAATTCAAATGAGAATTAGAATCGTGGGCACTATAACAACTATTTGTAACCAATCAAAATGAATAAAATTATTATTTATTACTTATATTTAATATATAAGTTAAGACTCTCGACAATCTAAGGGGGCTGGAGAGTCCAGTCAGAGACATTCAAGGGGAGAACCCAATCATTAAAACTGATTTGGACCAGAGAGAGTTTAGATCTTTTGTTACTAAACTATATATAGTTATATATATATATATTTTATAAAATATATTATTTCATTGAACACAAAGTTGTCTATATTCACAAGAACCCAACACAGCGTCCCCAATCACTAGTGCTCTAGTGTGAGAGAGCTTAACTTATATAATTTTTGCTAATAGTGACTCCTGCTTAAAATAATCTTAAATTGTTTCCTTTAAGCCTCATGCTTAACTAACCTGATTGATTGCTTGCTTGCTTGCTTGATTGAAAAGCAATGAAAGTGAAAGAGCTCAAAAATTTCTATCTTTTCATGAATATCATTCTCTGCATATATGTATATAGCCTGCCCGTCTGATTGACTGCTGCTCTGGTTGATAATCCACAGTTGAAGCCATTAAAGCTCAATTGAAAGGCCTTGTAGCCATCACAATTGGCGAGTCGTTAAACACTTATGCTCTCCGTCCAAGGCTCTCGGAGAAGTCGGTCAGAGTTTTAATATTTCATAAATGTTTTCATGAAAGAGAAGAAAAATCCCTTCTGGTTTTTCTGCTTTAGC